GCCCCCCCCCCCCCCCCCCCCAGCAGCGGTGGCCCCGCTCTCCCTGCTGTTCAGCCCAGTGACTCAGGCACTGACCGGCCACCCCGGGCCCTTGGGCAGCCACAACCACCCCTGAGGTAGAAGGTAGCTCACTGCCCATTGCACAGAGGAGAAAAGCAAGTCCCCGGGCTGGTAAATGGCAGCAGGCGGACTGAAACCCAGGGCCTCTGTGGCCACGGCCGGGCCCCTTTGTCTCCCTGCCCCTCAGGTTTCCCATCTGTGGGCTTGTGCACGGCACATGCGGGGAGGGGTGGCGGCTGACTCAGCACCCACTTTCCTCTGTTCCTATGAACAGGAAGGGCCAAGGCATATCGGGGGCCGTCCACCCTCCTCTCCCCCAGACCAGCCTCCGGGGCTCCTCCCTGACTCCTAGGCCTGGGGGGCTCTCCCAAAAGGCCAGGCCCTCTGTCAGCACCCCTTTTTCCGATGGCTGACAGGACCAGCCTGCCCCTCTGTCCAGGGTGTGCCCCAGCCCAGAGAAAAGCAATGGGGGAGGGGGATTTACAGAGTCCTCACTCCTCCCAGGGCCCCCTGGTCCCCTGGCCCCCCGGGAGGGAAGCCTTGGCTCCCAGGGGGCTCCCAGGGGATGTCCTGGTAATGGGCACAGTGGGCGAGATACAGGAGGGGGAGCCCAGCCCCTCCTCTGGTCCTGCAGAGTCCGGGCCAGAGAAAGCAGGGCCGACCAGGGGCAGGGGCAGCGCCAGGCTGGACTTGAACCTGGAACCCTGCTCCCACTGCAGGGCTTGCCACCCTTGGCCCACAGAACATCCTCACCCACAGGCGGGTAACCTTTCTGGAGCCCCTTTGTGCTGGCCAGGTGACACACCTCATGAGCAAGACCACAGGGCAGCCCCGTGGCCCGGCACCCAATGGTCAGGGCCACTCAGCATGGCCAACCCGCCGCGGGCACAGACATCCCAGCGCTGAGGAACAAGCCCCCGCACTGAGAGAGGGCGAGGCCCTTGGGCAGCAGCTCCCCCCCAGCAGTGCCCGGCCCTCTCCGCACCCAGAGGGAGCCAGCTGCCAGCACCCCTACTCCAGGGGAAGGAAGCCAAGGCCCAGAGCAGCAGGAAAGAG